CATAGCTGGCTCAATCGTATAGGAAGGGACCAGACACCTATGGAGGAGAAGTTCGCGGCCAGCAGGTCAGAGATCGCGGGCAGGATCTTTAGAGGTGAGGCCACGATCTTGAAATGCAGTCGTACTGGCCTTCGGGATTGAGGAGATTGCGGGCTGACTTTGCGGTTGCGATCCAAGAGTCGCGGGCATGATCTTCGTCGCGGTCAGAAAACACTATGGTCGTGATTCGACTGGGAAACTCGTTGCTTCTCCTTGGCTCCTTCTTCGAGAAGTTCACGCCCTGAGCCCTTCAATTCACGTTCGCGGTCTTGGGCTTCCACGCCACGATCTTGAGCGTGACTTCGCTGTCCATGATCTGCCTCTTCTAGGCCACGATCTTCAGTCTCCTACCCCCTTGCTACACTTGTGACCTTGTTCTATACCTAATTTGCATATATGGTCTAACACACCCTAAAATCACATCGAATTCATATAGGAACAAAATAGGGATGAAATTGATGATGTTCAAGCAATTATGCACATTATTTGGCACGAAACAAACCTCAATAATGAAGGGAAAATAACACCGTTTGAGGTGTTATCAAGATGGTAGGACCATATCTAACTCGCCCTAATCCTAGAATTTATGGAGAGTTATTATCGCCAAAAAACACCTTCCCTTTCTAATTTTTTACCTTCCTTGAATTTTGTGAATAAATCTCTATTAGCGATCATGTGGTGTGGGCAACCACTATCGAGGATCCATGAATTTTTCTTCATGCTCACTTGAAGACAACTCTGCACCAATAATAGTCAACTTGTTTTATGTACCCGGACTTTCTTGGGTATGGTTTTCTTTGGGACATCAAAAGACTTTTGCATGCCGTTGTTTTGAACTTTCAGATATTTCTTTCGTTTTTCAGAATTTATGCGTCTTATACAATGCTTAATGACATGCTCTGATTTATGATAGTAATAGCACTCAACATGACTTTCTGCCTTTCTAAATTGGTCTTTATGATGACTTAGGTAATTTCTAGAATCACTAGTATTCTTTCCTTTAAGTTCTCCAACCTGTGTGAGCAATTGAAGTTTTTCATATTCTTGTTTATCCACTAAGTTGGCTAGGTCATTGCATTTTAAAGTGTATTCTTCAATCTGTAAATGCAGGCTATCATTTTTATTCTTAGCCTCGTAGTATTCCTCTTTTAGTTTGCTATAATAACTTTAACTGCTGCAAACTCACGTTGAATTCTCCTAATAGTTGAAGTGAGAGGATCATCATCGCTATAGTAATAAGATTCACTAAAGTCAGAAGTTCTACTTACCTCGGATGGTAAGCTGTGAATGTCGATAGACAGATCATCAACGGCCATTAAGCATGCATCCTTTTTCCGTGAATAATCTTCGTAATCATCCTCATCATTGTCACTGCAACGCCAAGTTGTTGTCATCTCTTTTTCCTTCCTCCAGAGTGGGTAGTCAGTCTTAATGTGACCTTGTCTCCCTTTTCACTCTTTGATGCATACTACTTATGCCTTGCATTCCACTTCCTTGTCCCTATTCCTTCTCTGCATCTTTATCTTTGTATTGATGTGAAAACTGCCTACCTTTTCTTTCTTTTCTCATCCTCATAAGCTGGGAGATGTCTTTGCTCAGCATTGCTAGCTAGTCATTGTCCATGTCTTCATAATTATCGGAGTCTTCACTACAAACTTGAGTTCTGAACGCTATTCCGCGGTTTTACTTGTTTTGTTCTTCACCTATATCCCTTTTGAGCTTTTCTTCATACATTGTTAGTGATCCGATCAGTTCATCCACTGGCAACCTACTTAGATCTTTGGTTTCCTTAATAGCTGTCACTTTAGCTTCCCATTTCTTAGGCAAAAACCATAGTCATTTTCGAACTAGATCACCACTCTCATACATAATTCCCATGTTCTCTAGACTATTTATCGTAGTGGTAAATCTCTCATACATCTCTCTAATGGTCTCTCCTTCTATCATCTTGAAAAGTTCGAACTCAGTTTTCAAAGTGTTGATGCGTGAGATTTTAACCTGAGAAGTACCTTCATATGTAACCTGAAGTTTGTTCCAGATTTCTTTCGCAGTCTGAAACCTTGTGTTATTCCTCTTGACCCAAAGCACAATACATGAGATTCGTAGCTTTGAAGTTCTGCTGGTGCTTATCTCTATCTTCATCTGTCCACTTGCTTTGATCAACTTTCACCTCGAGAGGACCATCGAGAACTCTATCCCAAATCTTTGTATCAGTCAAGCAGATGAAGATTTCCATACGATTCTTCCAGTAGCCGTAATTAACTCATTCAGACCTTGGTGGATGATTTTGAGAGGAGACATCTGCGAGATACAAAACTACCCCAATTCCGGATCCCGATGCTATTTCTTCTCCTTTGAAGATCGTAGGACCTTATTCAACAGAACCAAACTCTGATACAACGAGTTGGTCGTCGAGCACGAGACTTTCCCTCTTAATTGATCTTACTCCACCTCGTCCGTCGCCTGCAAAATCCCTCCCAACCTTTTGCAAGAACAAGTGAAAGACGATGGAGGAGGTTGAGGTTTGATCGTGAATTTAATCAACAACTTTACCTTTGATATTTGTAGGTTGAACGAATGGTTAATTCCAAAATGGGCTTTGTGACTAGGCCCACGAAATTTCTCCTTCCTTTCTGGTTTTGAGTCTAACGCAAAAACCTGAACACAACTTAACTAAGGGCTTGCATTTTACTTGAATACTGCTTTCCTACAGAGCTGCGTTTCACTAACACTTAGTTGAATGCTATTCTTCTTCTTTCAAGATCGACAGAGTATCCCGCACTTTCAAACACCAAGAAACACTGAAATTTTTACGTGGTTTCCAACGTTGGGTGAAACTGATCCCAACGTTGACTAATCCATGGTCTGAGAATAACGTTTTGTGATCTCAGACGTTCCACTATGAGTATGTTTGATTACGGTCTGAGATTACAATGAACACTCAACCCGACCGATTAGCTCCCCACTGAATCCACGCAGTACACCTATCAGCTACCCAGCCGATACACCTTTTGTTTCCCAGAAACCCAGACCCAGAAATCTTACTCAATTTTTGTGCAGACTATTCACTTGTTGATTGTTATACAAAACTCTCTACTGTATCTCTCAATCACTTGCTTGCTGAAAAGTCTGCTTCTTCCTCCTGCTCTTGGCTCTATTTATATTGAACTTCTATAGATAGCCATTTGATTTGAACGTTAGACTTTCCTTCTTTGTTTCTCTTTAGATTCGCCACCTTCCATCTTTAATACAAGCTGATTGATTCTGAGTATTTGGTTCCAGCTAGAGTCGACTGCTGTGAGGATATTGCAACGTTGACCTCAACAGACTGCATCACTTCTAGCACCAGTCTTGAACTCCAAATAAATTCAACACTTTTTCATATTGGTCCGAGAAAATCCCCAGGATCGCATGTTTCACCGAGCTATTCTTCCAACGTTTTTGGGACCTCGTGGGTCCAGATGTCTGCTCCGCAATCCAATGTTTTTTCCAGTACCAATCACTTATTATGTTCTTTCAACCATACTTGGTTGACCTTAATCCCAAAACTACCCAATGTGAAAAATTGTTCAGCTATGCCCAATTGGTATATGCCAAGTTTTGTACAAAACTATTTCAAAATTATTAGCCCACACTTCTTGGCATTGTCCTACTTCAGATCATCACCACTTACTAGAATTGCTTCATGAAAGATCATTCCATAGTGGACAATGTAGTCCTAAGTAAAGAAGTTATGACATATCTCAAGAACGACATGGTCGAGAGTTTTTATGAAACTAGATGTGGAAAAAGCTTACAATCAGATTTGGTGACCATACCTTTCCATCTAATGGCCAAATTTGCATTTTCTCTCGGCCGACTCATCAATATGTTATGTAATTGTCTTTCTATCTTCTTAGTGATGTTGAATGGGAGTTCATATGGTTATTTATACCCGATTCGGGGTCTAAAGGAGGGTGACCCCATCTCCCTGATACTTTTTTCAATAAGTAAGGAAGGTTTCTCCGCATTATTATCTCAAACTATCATTACGGGCTATCTATGTGGGGATTGATGTATACAATTATGTATTTCCCAGTCACTTCAAAGAGGTAAGGTTTTCTGGAATGCATTAGGCTGAATGTTTATCATCAACTAGTTTTGACGTTGTTGGCTAGGGGATCGAGAAAACGTACTTGTAGGCCGAGGTAGTTCTGTTCAAACCTGTCATCGTCTCCAATCCAATGCCATGAGCTTACAGCTCAGGCTGGCTCTGATTCTACAGAGCATGCTAACCGGACGTGTTTAGTTTTGATTAGAGTTGGCAAATCTGGATTGGATTGGCGGATCTATGGATCTAATGGATTGGATCAAGTGGATTGGTGGATTATCCATAAATCCAAATGATATTTTCAATCATTAATCAAGGACCAATATGTAAAATGTGAAAAGTTTAGTTCTTAAAATGTCATAATGAAAAATTTTAGGTACCAAAATATAATATTTCAATTATATTTTTCATATGATAATTAAATTTAGGTACCAAAATGTAAAGAATAAAAATTATAGGTACTGAATTGTAATTTGTCAATGATCCATGGATCAGATTCATGAATCCAGCAATCCAATTGGATTTGGATCAAATGGATTGGATTAGTTGAATATTTTTAATGGACTGATGGATTGTATTGGTGGATTGGATTTAAATTGTCATCTCTAGTTTTGATTATCTAAGGCTGTTGTGGTTGCAGTGGTATTGTGTTAACATATGTACAACCATAACAGGAAAAAACAGAAAACACAAACCTGTTTAGTTGACAAATCTGAAAAATCATGAAAGCTGACAACAAGAAACAAAAACGCGTTTAGTTACTACTATAAGAACTAAAAACCAGAAAAAGAGATATGTCCTCAATATTAAGCAAAGTCTCACAAAAGTCAACATACCTAACATCATTCATGTTCCTTACAAAAAAGTAATACTAAACATGATTAGCACTCCATAACTGGTTAGCAATGTCATCACGCTTCTCGGTCATCTCGCGTGTTGCTGCATAGCTGACGTTGAACTCAGTGAGTGGTAGTTCAACCACAGAAGTCGAACCTTCTTCATCTTCATAATTTTCATATTCATGAAATAGTTTATCATCTTTTGCATGAATCTTGATGAAATTATGTAAGGCGCAACAAGCAATGACAATACTTGTTTGCTTACTCAAGCTATACGACCGCATGAACTTTAGAATCGGAAACCTTGTCTTTAAAACTCTGAAGCAACGCTCAATAACATTACGCAGACTTGAATGCCGAAAGTTGAATAATTCTTTACGCCCTCTTGGTCCGCCTCTACGCCCCATCTCTTGAAAATGACAAGTAGCTCCTCAAAATGGTGCTAGAAATCCAGGGATATTTTGAAATCCAGAGTCCACAAGATAATATTTACCTAAATGAATATGTTGAAAATAAACTAATAAGATCTCACTATCGCTCATATTGTATTAATAAATGAATGAAATGTTGATATCATACCATTTGGTGGCATTGGATAATCATTATCTGGATTTGCGATTGTCTCCATTAGTATTCTTGCATCATTCGCAGTGCCAATAACATCCTGTAAGACAATATATATATATCAAGATCATCATAATATGAAACATGTGCAATATGAAATAAAGGATAAGAAGTTAACCTTAAAATACGGGTAAAATTTTGAGTTATCCATGATCTGCTCTGGAACCACACCCATATATGGTGGTTTAATTAGCCTTACTGCAATTTTGTTGACTGCTTTCAACACTATGCCAAAGTACTATGATATAGTGGCTGTGGAATGTTGGAACCTTTCTGCGCCATCTCTAGTGGTCCATGAGTGTCCAACAACTTTCATGAATATTGCAACTTGTTCTTCAACTGTCATATTCTTTGTTGATTTCAACCCTCCATATCGTTTTAGTTCTCACATAGAGAAACAAATGTCCTTTTATCCATCCTTAACTGCTCATATATTTGAATTGAATGTCCATGGAGAATCTCTTGCACCCAATCATGTCCTCTTTTATCTAATGTTCTACAAGGAGTTTTAGAGGACGACTTCCTCCTCTCCTCCTCCATCAATGCTAGCATTATTACTACTAATTTATCATCGTAAGAATCTGATAATGAATATGAAAAAGTAGCAATTTATCTGTGTATACAAAGTAAAGTAATGAACATTCATAGAAATAACATCACAACACATTCATTACAAATCATAATCAAATCCAACACTCATACAAATATTCATTACAAATCAACTTCAAACCAAATGATAACACTCCAAAATAGTACAGAACAAGAGAGTTTTAAACATAACAAAACAGCCAAAGTGCATCACATCCAAAGCTGCAACTAATCACGCCTCCTCTCTTCGACACATTCAAGAACACATTTTGATATTCTTTAGAATCATGGAGACACTTCACAGCTGATGCAAATAAAGCACCATTAACTTTTATCTCATCCAAAAGCTTGACACACTTCATAAGTTTCCCATCATCACTTGGCTTGGAGGAGACTTCACCTCCTCCCACAGATGAAGAAGCCATCTTTTGTGTCTCACGCTCAACCATGGATAACAACAATGTTCCTATGGACTCAGCATAGCTAATCTTATCTCGCTTCCCCCCCCCCCTTGCCTTTGTTTTTGTTCTTATCCTCCTAACCAACAACAGGAGCCGCACCAATTTCTTCCTCTTCACCATCAAGATTAGTTACCTCAACACTTTTGGTTGCAGCCAACTCTTCCTCATTACTACTAGAAGCAGCTTTGGTTGAAGGACGAGCATTATTTCCAGAAGCAGTAGTGTCACCAAATATGTAGCACAACTTGTCATATTCAGGACATCCATGCTTTTGGAATCTAAGATGCAACTTTGAACCCTACACTCATTAATAAAATCATCTCAAATTAAGTAAAATGAGTTTTTAACATCCATTTTAATTATTATTATTATTATTGAAAAGAGATTGATTTATTACCTTGATAACACTTTCCCAAACATGTTCTTCTGCACTAACAAAACCAGTTGAAGCTTCATATCCCACTCCAGTATGACTAAGCAATGTCTTGAAAGCTCTGAGTCTACCCCTTAACCCATTAAACTTATTCTTCACTTGAGTCTTAGTATAGTCTCTTTTCAACCGCTCTTTCAAACCAGCAATGAGATTGGCGAATCCAGTTGGTGAAAAGGTTGAAGTAACAAAATTTTCCATTTTAACTTCTTCCACCAAAAGATCAATGAACACAGATTCAGCTTTATCACCCCATATTTTGCTATCATCCCTCTCCCCATTATCATTTTTCTGAATCTCCACACAATCAACATCACCATTTTCAACAATTTTCTCCATAACTGAGGTAAACCACAAAACAAAGAACATAGCAATCACTCCAGATTCACAAATAACTAATCTAGCAATCACTACATACATGCCAAATTCATGAACATATTCAGAAAAGTATAGATTAACATAATACTTTGAAGAAGTCGAAGTTACCTGCTGCGGGGAGATGGAGTGAGGCTTTTATGGAGGGGAAGTGGCCGGCGGCAGGGCAGGTGGGCATCGGCGGGCTGGGCGGCGCGGAAGCGGGGAGGCGGTGGTGAGGCGGCGCGGCGCGGAGGCGGAGGGATCGGGGCGCGGAGGTTGGGCTGCTGGCGACTGTCTAGCAAGGGCGGCGCATCGGGGAGGCGGAGGTGGCGGGCGGCGCACAGGGGATGCCTCTGTTGAGAAGAAAATGGAAGGGTTGGGGGGGGGGGAGGCTGTTATGTTCAAGTAGGGTTTGGGGTTGGTTATGTGTTAAATATATATATATTTTTTTTTTGGCTTCTGTGGGGATTCGAAAACTGGTCTGGTTTAATGAAATCAAGCGCCCAACCAGTAGGAATCCCGTGTGCAACATGTTCAAGAATTATATCCAAAGCAATAAATTGTTGTTTCTCATATTTGGGCCTTGTTGTGCAACTCTGATTCACAACAGAAAATAAAACCCAACTAAACACGATTTTTTTATTGGTTTTCAAAATTTCATAAAACAAAACAAACAACAAAAACAAGCAACAATACTAAACGGGCCCTAAGATTACCTTATTGATGAACAATATGAGAAGTTTTATTTCCTCTGTATGCCAATGGTGGCCAGGTTTACAGCTTGAAGAATATTTCATGGAAGAGACTCAATGAGGAGCCTTGGCGTTATGGGTTTAGGCCTTCGCTCGTCCATCAAGACACATCACGAAACGAGAAGTGTTATTGGTCTTACGATATGGGCGATGTCCGTTTCCGTATTACTACGTTTGACATGAGCAAAGAAGTGTTTCAGGACATCACCATTTGTGCTCCCCCTGACAAACGAGATGCTAGTTACAATGAGTCTTGTTTATCTTGAAGCAGGCTCTGGTTGTTAGCGTATTAAGGGCCTAGTGGCTTCCGATTATGTGATGATGACTTAGTGTGATAGATTTCTTTAAGCCCACATTTAATTAGCCCATGCAGGCCCATGCAAGGTTGGGACGTAGATTGTGTTAATCCCAAACCTAGGGCACGTCTATGTATAGGGTTGAGAGAGTGCAGCCGATCTGTATCTTGAACATTCATTCATCATCATAGTAAAACAGCAGCCTGAAGAGCGTTCTAAGCTTTTCCGTGGATTAGTCCTGGATCACATCCAGGAATACCACGTAAACTCGTGTGCCGGTGTCAGTTTCAATTCCGTATCGTATTAATCTGCTTCTGGTGGTTCCAACATGGTATTAGAGCTTACCGCGACTGATTCGGAGAGGCCAACTGTGCGCCTCACATCGACAAACTACGCGCTCTGGGAATTTCAGTTTAGGGTTTTCGTTGAAGGAAAAGGATTATTGGGAATTTTGGAAGGAACTACTCTTCGACCTGCTGAAGCATCTGCTACTCCACAAGAAAAGGAGACTTGGGACCAAAATGACGCCCGCATCCGCTCCTGGCTCCTAGGATCTGTTGATCCTTCAACCTGCCTTATCCTTCGACTGTTCTCTACAGCCAACAGAATGTGGCGCCACCTATCGGGACTCTATTCAACTACCAGCGCGGCACGACAATTTGAGGTAGAAACGATACTCTCACGCTTGACCCAGGGAGACAAGACAATCACTGAATATTTTAACTTAGCCCAGGAGTTATGGACAGAACAGGACATGCTCCATTTATCACTGCGGCCTGGGGCTATGACGGACGAGATGATCGCGGAACGACATCAAACTCGAGTTATGCAGTTTCTCATGAGGTTGAGACAAGAATTTGAGAATATTCGAGCTAATATTCTGAATCAAGAACGACTTTCATTTGATGGTGTGATCAGTAGTCTCGTACGCGAGGAGGCACGCCTGCGGACCCAAGCTCAGTTCGATATTCGGCCGGGTGAAGGAGAAACGTTTGCTGCAGGCCGTGCTCACTTTGCAAGGTCAGGTATGGGTCAAAGCTCTCAAGTTCTTGCTGTCACACGCCCTCAATTCCAAAATAGAGTTCCTAATTCTGAGTTGGAGTGTCATCATTGCCATGAAAAGGGGCATTTGGTAAAACATTGCCGTAGAAGGAATTACTGTCTGTACTGCAAAAGAATGGGACATATTGTTTTAGAGTGTCGCACTCGTGAACGTAACGTGGAAAGGTATGTGAGCAATCCTTCTTCGGATGGAGGTGGACGCGGACAGCAAAATAGGAATTTTTGACCTACTTATGCTGTGGAAACAGGAGAATCTAGTGGAACTACTTCTAGTGGTGTCTCGGCTGCTCAGCTGGAGCAACTAGTGCAGGCTGTGGCAGCTTTGCAGAACTCTCTTCCCACTGCCATAGGATCCGCACTATCGAACCTGCAAGGTAAGATAAAATCCAAACCTTGGTTGATCGATTCGGGTTGTTATAATCATATGACTAATGATAAGAACTCTCTTGGTAATATTAGATCAATTAGTCATGATGGTCTCACTATTGCTAATGGAGATAAATTGGCAGTAACAGGAGTTGGTCGAGTAGATACTCCCAACATTTCATTGTCACGTACCTTACTTGTTCCTGATTTGGTCCCTAATTTAGTTTTAGTAGGACAACTTACCGAGCAGGGATGCTCTGTTATGTTTGCATCTTCTGACTGTGTTATACAGGACTTGAAGACGGGGAGGCAGATCGGAAGGTGGGAGTAAACAGGGGAGGATATTCCACTTGGAGGAGCTCCAAGACAGTTCAAGTCCAGTTCTTTCTTCGAGTCAGTCGTCTTCGAGTCAGTCTGTGTCTAGGTCTGTCAGTAGTCCTTCTCACTTTTTTGACATTTCGTCTGGTGTTGGTTCAGTATTTTCTAGTTTATCGAATGAGGAGTGGGATCTTTGGCATGCTCCTCTGGGGCATCCCACTCAGGTCGTCTTTCTGTCATGTTTAAACAATCTCTTTTAGGTCAGAATTGTGTTTGAATTCCTGCTGAACACTCTTGTACCAGTTGTGTGGAAGCAAAAACTACTACTAAATCTTTTCCTCCCAGCACTACTGTTATAAACGAGCCCTTTCACATTATTCATACTGATCTTTGGGGACCTGCTCCTACTGTCTCTCGTCTTGGTTTTCGCTATTTTGCCTTGTTTATTGATCATGCTACCCGATACACCTGGATATATTTTCTCCGTCTAAAATAAGATCTCCGTTCAGTGGCCATAGAGTTTCTAAATATGATCCAGGCTCAATTCAACAAAACTATCAATATCATTCGTTCTGATCTAGGAGGAGAGTTTAGCTCAACTCCTTTGCATGATGTCTATCGTTCCCGTAGGATTCTCAGCCAAATGTCTTGTCCAGGGGTTTCACAACAAAATGGCCTAGTTGAAC